GTGTGTGTGTGTGTGTGTGTGTGTGTGTGTGTGTGTGTGTGTGTGTGACCACCTACAGGCCATCTGGGAGAATCAGTTCTATTACCTCTTTGGCTTCCTGTTTCTGGTCTTCATCATCTTGGTGGTGTCCTGCTCTCAGATCAGCATCGTAATGGTTTACTTCCAGCTCTGTGCAGAGGTGAGTTAATTTGGGGCCAGGTGTGACTCAGGCCTGCATGATGTGAGTGGAATCTGCCATGGGACATCAAATATGGTGATGACAGTATGACTTGAAATATGTAAACAAATGAAGCGTGCATACTAGCTGTACATGTCCTGTGTCGGCCTGGTTGTCTTTAGAATTCAGAGAACAATGGAATATTTTATTATATAACGAGGCTAACTGTTTCTAAAGCAGCATTGTGTAAAGGACAATAATCGCACACTCGTGTTTACATTCAAAATTGAAGGCCCAACATATCCATACAATAAACAATACACGGTATGTCTAGCTATGAATAAAGAGATTGAAGTCATTATTCACAACTTTACAATGTCTTAGAAGAGAGTAGAATTTCCAGTGTGAATCGTCTGTAGTGTTTTCTAAAGGTTCTCTTCCACTGGCGCTGTGTTCTCTCTGTTTCTCCTCACTCTCAGGACTACCGGTGGTGGTGGAGAACTTTCCTGGTGTCGGGAGGTTCGGCGTTCTACGTCCTCATTTACGCCGTCTTCTACTTCATCAACAAGGTAAAAGGCCCGGAGGCTGTTCCACACATTTCACATAACGAGACCCTCCTTCAGAAATACTGTAGCAGCACTCATTGGAATGATGGCTTTGTCTTAATGGCACTCGCTGACTGACATAGTTGGCATCTTTGATGATGTCATCAGGGTTGTTGTGAGTCAGGCTTCAGACAGAAAACCTGCATTATCAACTGTGGGCATTGAGTTTAAAGGTATACTATGTAACGTCTTTTAAAAGCCTTGTTAAGAAAATGAACTCGCATTATGGCAAATGTTCCCAACAGTTTCAAACCCAGACGAATCAGTCACTTTGATCAAGGTAATGGTCCGTTTCATTTGTGGTCGCCTGCCAGAAGCCGTCATCAATTGACTTTTTATCCAGTTTTTACGCCACATTTATCCGATACACTTCAGATCGTGGTCGTTTTTAACGCTATAATTAAACTGGATAAAGGATTTTGACATCTGGATCTTAAGTTGTTTGAGAAACAAGCCGAGTAAATGTTATCCGGGACGTCTTGCGACCGCCGCACAGCAGTCAGAGTAACGTGTTTCATTCAGTGTGACCGGTTTTAATCACAATTAAACACTGAAGGAATCCAAATCAGGAGAAGCTGTTAAAAGCACCAACTCCCATGATCCCACTCTAATTCACGATGTCTCCGTCTTCTGTTGTCTTTTAGTGAGAGATCCCTTCGAGGCAGAACATGACATATTGTGCGTTTAACATGCAGAGGGTGTGCTATCCAGTTGCATTATGGGAAATGTGAAACTGTCGAAGCTTGACTCATAATTTCCAGACTTGCACCTCGTAGCGTGAACACACAAAGCTTCCATTCACATTATGGGTATCAATGAAGTACTGGCACAGGTATTTATACTGGCAAAGTCTTTTTTTAAACCATACCTAGCTCTGTTAGCAGCTAACCGCTGACCAGCTGGAATTCCTCTGAGCATCTGTTAAGTCTGAATCAGGCCATCATGACATCTTCTGATGTGATGTATTCCATGCCTGATAAAGGACCCTGCTAGGTCACTAAAAGTCACAATATTACACCCTCTGCTGATTTGATTTTTAAAATCTCTCTTGAGTTTGACAACTTCATGAACGTAAATAGCAAATAACAGAAAGATGGACGTCATGTTGAACTTGATTCCTCTCCTCTGCACTTCTCCCCAGCTGGACATCGTGGAGTTCATCCCCTCCCTCTTGTACTTCGGCTACACGGCCCTGATGGTGCTGTCGTTCTGGCTGCTAACGGGCACGATCGGCTTCTACGCAGCGTACATGTTCATCAGGAAAATCTATGCCGCAGTCAAGATAGACTGAGTCGTCACTGTCGCTGCTGTTCTCGGTTATTTTTGTCACATTCTGTTTTTTGTTATGTACATATTTTTTATTCTTCATGTCCAACAAGCACTGACTTGTGTGTCGAGGGAACATGAGGGGTGCTTTTTACAGCGCAACAGCCCCACCCACTGCCCTCGTGGGGAAGAACAGCAAGGTGGCCGAGCTAAACCGGCTGTCTCTCTCCCTCCCTCCCTCCCCCTCTCTTCTATCCTCCCCCTCCTCCATCCAGGACAGAGACTCCGAGGGAATTGTCCTCCGCTTGGGACAGTCGATGTCTCCTGCTGTTTCACCTCGCACACAACACAGTGGGCCAAAGCTTGTCAGACGATGGTTTCTGCACATTTCTGTTTAGTCTTTCCATTCGTGTTATGAGTCTAACTTATCTGGGAGGGTTTTTATTTTTGTCATGGCAGGATTTATCTCTGACCTAATTTCTTCCAATCATCTTCTGCAAACGCTATTTCATTGTCTTTCCACTGTCTCTGTTTTCAAACGTCGCTTCGTTTCAGTTTCGGAGACATTGGAGATCTGGGGGGGCGGGGGGGTCTTGGGGAGTCTAACTGTGGTTATGGTTTTGAGTTTGTTGTGTTGAACTCGTATGGATGGAAATTATGCTAGGAAGTTCTGCATTGTAACACAAGAACGGATAAATTAAATGTTCTATTAGTTTTACTCCAGTTTCCATGTCCTGGTGTTGACCACGCTAACCACGACCGTAAGCCAGATATTCCCTTCTCCTTCCCGAAACAACGGGTCTCTTTTAAAAGTCCAAATATTGGTCCATTTCCACTCAATGATGCAGAACGGCTCTGAATGGGACTATGAACCCGATGCCCTGAAGCAGCGGACTGCTGGGTGAAGCCACTGGAGTTGGAGAAAAGGAATTAAAATGACAAGTAGGAGTAACTTTATTTTCGAAAGACCACAACACAAATATGTGTTTGAAGCTTTTCCAGAAGAAACGTACCAAAAAAACAAAAAGAAACGTTTCCGCTCTTTAACCCCACTATCAGTGTAGCCTTAGCAGTGCTGGGTGCCTGCTGAACTATGCAGCAATGGAACGTGCATTTTATGAAAGGTTATTTCAAAGGACCATTTTTGTTGAGAAATGATGCCCATTTCTTTTAAGTTTGAATCTGTGTGCTACGTTTTTGTGTCTATCATCAGATCTTTGTTTCTACCGACAGTGGTAGATGATTCTCAGTGCTTGGGTGTCTTGGGTTGCAGAGCATTGAAATATAATCCAGTTTTCTTTTTCTTAATAGATCTGTATAGTAATGATGTATTCTTGAATTACAGCTCATGATTTTTATTTTTTATTTTTTCCCCTTTTCAAATGACATTTTTGGGTTAACAGCTAAAAAACTTAAAATTGCATTTAGAGCATGGGTGGAACCTGTTAGTTAGACTAGCAATATGAGCTAAGGGCTCCCCATAGACAACCAATCTATTTTAATGTAGCTAAAACATATATAGATGACATTAAAGGAATAGTTTGACATTTTACGAAATACACAAGCAATCCTCACAGAATACACGAACGTTGAGTTCGTCTGTGTAAGTAGTTTATTACCACCCATTGTTCTGTTTGTTTGAAGGCGCCCCCCGGTGGCTGTAACAGTTATGACTGGAGCGTACGAGGAAGTCCGGTGATGTGTAATTCAGAGCGGAAAGTCCACAAAAGGAGTTTGTGGTCGATGGATGGGTCAAACAAGAAGGACTTTCACCCAGGAGATCGGTGTTCGTGTCCAAAAGTCGACACTTTGAGTTCTTTTCAGGTACAGACAGAACCACGTTAGTACGTAACCATGTCACGTATGTAATGTAGAAACTACATCACATACTTATTTCAACCCAAACATAGACCTAACCATCTTTAGTAGTTTGTAAGTAGTTACGTTTCTCAACGTGTTTAAAACTGTGACTGCTTCACAACGTATATCGTTAACGTGAGTCTACTCTGGTTTCGGTATGAGGACGTGTTCCAAATACACTTCTTGGCTTTCCGGCCAAGAGTTAGATGACAAGATTGATACCACTGTCATTTATGATGATAGCTTTTGACACAGACTGAAACAGCGCTACAGCTAGCCTCGGCCTGCCCAAAGACAATGAAATCTAGCCAGTATAGCTGTTTTCCAATACTTCCCGTCTTGATGCTAAGCTACGCTAATCGGCTGCTGGAGGTTGCTTCATATTTACATCCAACTGGAGGAATGGGATTGAGTGTATTTCCTAAGTATTCCTTTAAACACAACATGGGCTGGTCAACATAATCCTAACTCTATTCTACATCTCAAGCACAGCACTGTTCTTGTTGTCTGCTGCCCTTTGACAGATAACACGAGCCCAGCAGAACACTACATCATTACAATACAGTTAATGGGGGGGGGTTACGGGCCGGATCGGAGTCCCAAAAGAATATTCTAAAGACTAAATTCCAACAAGCCGAGATGATGCATTTTGATCAAATATGCAGGACATTCTGGGCTCTTGGGTTAAATATTTATTGTAGTCTATCATTGTCTTCATAGCTGACATCCTACGAGTTTACGTGAAGAAATGAGGGGCTCAACCCCGATTCTCCACGCGCTAAACGGTTGAATGAACGAGTGACTCTTCCTCCTGTGTCCTCTTCTTCGTTCATCATAATTGAGCCAACCCAACACGTGTTGAGCTTCAAATGAGCTGCTTGAAGAGAGCGAGACGAGCCAGCCTTCAGAGGTTTCCTCAATTCAAATGGGTGAACTTGTATATTGACTATTATACTTTAATTTATTTCCACTCCAATTAGACACACTGATACCATCGCCTATTTACTGCTCTGCCCTCTGTATTACGTCAAAGAGGCCCTGACACTTGGCTGCTGTCTTACGTAAAGGCAGACGGATGCGCCCCTCCTGCTTTTGGAAGTGCATATGCTGGGGGAGGTTTTTTACACTTTTAAAGAGGCCCGCGTCATGCGTGCATATGTATGGTCGAGGGGTTTACAATGTAAATAGAAAAATGAAACTGCTTTGTATTTGTTGCGTTTCGCTGTTTGTGGCGCTCTCTGTAATGATCCCGTCATCGTTTTAGCCAAAAGCATGATGCTCATGACTGAAAGGAACTTGTTTCTGTTACTTTTCTCTTTGTATCTTTTCCAGAATGTACAATTACAAAACAATAAAGTGATAACAAGGTGAATATGAAAATCAGCTTCCACTGTGTTGACAAGATAGTTTAAACATTTTTTAAGGTGTGTTCAGACCAAACGCTTGTGCGTTACTCGTGCGAATGCGGACTATTTTACGAGTTGATTGTCCCTCAACATCCAATGTTAGAACTGGTAGAAGAGGGAAGAGAAGGAAGTTTGTGCACAACTAGCTTAGCAGGAAATCCAACAGCAGCAAACACGCTACAAATTATCCCCGCAGCGTTTAGGGGTTCCCTACTGATTCAATCAGGGCTAAAGCAATCGCCACACAATCTCCATTTCTCCAGACCGTAATTCCTACTTTGTTAAAGAACAAAACCCCAAACAGAGAATTAAATGTCCGACCCTAACCCCGCACGTGATGGGATGCTTCGTCATTAACGGACAACACATAAAGTCACAATCAATGTAATTAACACAATGACAAGAACAAACTCACAAGAACCAGTCACATATATTTATATTACAACAAAGCATGACAAATCAATCCAGCAACACTGCAGCGCTAAAACATGTATTCCACCGCACACTAAAGAGCACGAGCCATTCAAATATTATTCACATCAGAGGGAACAATATTAACCATATCATAAAAACGACACGATAGACAAATGACCACAGTAGTAACGCTACTGCAGATGTAAAAACACAAAAGCATTTCACTTACCAAAGCTGCTGTTCACTTAAAGACAAAGTCCATCATCCTTTCTTTGTTTTGAAGAGTTTAATAATACCGCGGTTGTACGGTGCGGTTCAGTTCCAGCCAGAGGTCCTCCTACGAACGTGTTCGTTGAGTTGTAGATCCACTCGGGTTTCAGCAAAAGTTTTCAAAAGAATACGCCCAACATGTTAAACTAAAGATCTGATTGGTTGAACACTATGACAAATCAACAATATTGCCCCCATTTACTTAAACTGCAAAGGCTTTCTAGCGGGCCTCGGGCCTCTCTTCTTACCTAGAGACACAGAGGTGAAATCTGATAAAAGCTCTACTTAAAACAAGCTGCACTGGAAGCAGCGCAACTGAGGAAGACAGTAGCTGTACAATGAGAAAATAAGCGAATGGGGAAAAAAATTATAATACATGTAGTGTATTTGTGAAAAATTATTAAATTATAAAATAGCTATAACTTTGTGATTCTGTTTAGGCCAGCAGAGAAGGCTTAGCTGGCCCTGACGGCCAACCACTGGTGTATAATCACCAGAAACTAAGAATGGTTGTGTTTTCGTTAGCTTAGAATGAGCCCTTCATATCTATATAGGGAGCGGGTCCTCTTCACGTAGTCTACCGACAAACCAGACTCTGGCTCTAGAGGGAACCTTTTGCGTTTTTACCAGTGGTGGGCCGTCAGGGCCAGCTAAGCCTTCTCTGCTGGCCTAAACAGAATCACAAAGTTATAGCTATTTTATAATTTAATAATTTTTCACAAATACACTACATGTATTATCATTTTTTTTCCCATTCGCTTATTTTCTCATTGCACAGCTACTGTCTTCCTCAGTTGCTCTGCTTCCAGCACAGCTTGTTTTAAGTAGAGCTTTTATCCAATCAGATTCAGCCCCTATGTCTCTAGGTAAGAAGAGAGGCCCGAGGTCCTCTAGGTAGATTGTTGATTGTCATAGTCTTCAACCAATCAAATCTGTAGTTTGACATGTTGGGCGTATTCTTTGACGTGCCCCTGCTACCCAGGTAGCCTGCTAAGTACGTCAGCATTAACTGCGCCATGATTGGTCAGTGGTCCAGCGTGACTTTTGTCAAACAGAAAGCTAGCTAGAAGATCTTAGTATTTAGTAAGAGTTCAGGGTGAAACATATGTAAGAGAAGTTATGACATTTTTAGCGTTTTGCGGAATACGCGTGTTAGCGCTGCAGTGTTGCTGGATTGATGTGTCATGCTTTGTTGTCATATAAATATATGTGACTGGTTTTTGTGAGTTTCTTCTTGTTCTTGTATTAATTACATTGATTCTGACTTTATGCGTTGTCTGTTAATGACGAAGCATCCCGTCATCGCGGGGTTTGCCGCGGTTGTTTCCCCGTTAAGCTAGTTTAGCCTAGCCTCAGGTGTTTTTTGTTGTGGTTTTTTTAGTTCCGGGTTCAGAGGTCATACAGACGGTTGTCTCCTACGTGAGCGCAGTCCACGGAAAACATTATATTTCCCACAATTTAAGCTTCTGCATTTTCAAAATGCACTAGTATATTCAAACAAATACGTGTGTTGTTACACCCCTAGAAACAAATAATAACCATAGATTTGGCTCATAATTAGGCTATTCAACTGTAGTAGGACAGCACAGAAGGCCCAGGTATATGGCCCGCCACTGGTTTTTACATAATCTGAATTCCACCCTAGCTCTCCGACGCGCTTGTGAAACTGCGGTAACATGAGCCGAAAAGAGTGCAAAACCGAGGTACTGCCAGCCGCCGGGTGACTTCCGTTGCTCCTGGAGTCATGTTGTTAGGGTAAGGATGGCCTCTGAGTGAGACAAATGGCATTACCGCGGTTTTGGAATAGGGATGATTGAGCATAGGGGTTCAGTTGGTTGCAATATTCAGTCTCACCATTAGATTCCCCCAAATCCCACTCACCATAGCTATAAATGCGATGTATGTTGTGTGTGTGTGTGCGCCAGTCAAGGTGTTAAACTCCTGGTTTGCCCCTCTGTGTCTCCCAAGCGTTGAGAGTCTAGGAGGGTATAATCAAATGATTAAGTCTGTGTTGTGGCCCTTTTTTTTTTTTTTAGGCTCCTCCTAAGAAAATTCTACGAAACCAAAAGAGTTTCTATTCTTGAGTTATGGCACTGTTGTCATCCCGTAAGTGTATGTGTGAGAGTTAGCTCAGTTGATGTAAGTATAGGTTAGCTCCCTAGTACTATAATTAGGGGTAGTCTTGACACTATGCTATGCAGGCCTACTGTTGCAGGTCTCTGAGACATAATCCAGACCCTGGTCCGTTACGAGGGTTAGAGACACTGGGACAAAAGCCAATAGTCAGCTAGTCCTGCAATATTCTGGGATGGCATTTTCATTTCATTTAATCATATGGCGATTTGTTTAAATTGTATTATTTTGTAAATGATCTTCATGTAAATTATGTGGTAATAATACACCCCTTCTGTATCAGATTTGTAAAAAAAAAGAAGCCATTTCAGTGTTAGTGTTCGGAAGATATTTGTCTTGTGAAAACGTGTTCAAGGTTTACTTTGGCGACTGTAGAGCAAAAGAATCTGTCATAATCTGTTCAATTCTCCCATTGGAGTAAATAGACTCAAGACCTGCCTCAAGTCTCCAAAGGTGGGCGGAGCAGTGGTGAAACCCATGTGACACAGATACAGGAAACTGCTCTGAACTATAGCATTATTATGAATCCCGCCGCTTTAACCTAAAGAACTCTAACCTAACCATACAGCAATATGGTTATATATGGCAATATGGTCAGCATGCTAGCATTAGCGATAAGCATAAGCTAATTGAACGGGCGACGGCTATCATAAACGGTATTTTATAAACAGTACAGTCAGGCTCAATTTTAAAGTAGCGTAGACCAAGCCCATCAGTTCATGTTCATGTCTTTGTATCTTCTGTTACTGTAGCATTAAAGCACGGTTGAAATAGCAAGCTAGCTAGCTAACTAGCCAAGCCCTAAAGGGTTCAAATGTAACAACCTAATGCTTCATCCACACACTCTTGACACAACGTAGGAAAGCTCACGACTTTAAGTAACATTGAATTATGACTTGATATTTCTTTTGTCGTGGTTTACAGTTCAAAAACGAAAATGGTGAAGAAACCCTTCAAAATAAACAATAACAAATAGAATGCAAAGAGGGTATGAAACCGCTGGTTTGTCTTTTAATCATTTCAACATAACACATGACAACTCAAAGATACACTGTACTGTACAATAAGTCAATAGTTCTGTTGTTGTGTTCATCATCTCTTTGGATCAACCAATATACAAATCTGTCACTTCTACATTGCAGCAACTGATTGCATGTGAGATATGTAACAAAAAAGCAAGACTTCTCATTTTCTTTCTTTCTCCGAAGTACATCATTTATATAATTCTCCCTGTAGTTGATAAACTCCATGCTATATAAAATAGTGTAAGTGAATGCAAATATTCTATTTTCGTTCACCTTGTTTTTCACCCTTTTTATTCCAGAGGTGGCTGTAATAGCAAGTGATACAAATAAAATGGGCTATGTCACTAAACGAGATACACAAAGAGGTTGGAATGCAAGACTTACATTAAGCTAGAAATATATAAAACTACATGTGGATGTCGCCTGCATCAGGCAGTACCCAGTTTCTTTACTAAAAGCAAAAAAAAAGAGACGGGGGTGAGGAAGAGAGAGCATTATTAAAATCAAATCAGTTAAACTGATGAACAAATTCCCTTAAAATGTTTGTGTTCTGCACCTAGTAGTAAAGAGGAAAAGGTGAGGATAAGTGCATCCCTAGTAGGTGCAGGTCGAGGTAATGGAGCTACAGCCGAGCCAAGGAACAGAGTAACATCACCGTCAGAGGTCGGAGGTCGGGGGACATTCCATCTTATGTCGAGTGTGTCACAGCCCTGCTGGTTTGGAATCACCTTTTTTGGTCAGTTAACACTACTGAAGCCGAGTAGTAAGTCAGAATGATGATACAGTAAGTCAATTCAATTTTGACTTATCGAGTCACGTGATCATTTAGTCTTAGTTCTCATGTCAATAGCAGTAGTGGTTAAGTAGAAGTCAACACGTATTAAATGTAAAGAATTATGACACTGATTCAAAATTTAAAGGCTAAATTTTGATTTCGTCAGTTGTCAGAGTCATTAGTGATTCATAATTTGACTTCGTAGTATTGACTTAGGCTACATCCACCCTCCTACGTTTTCTTTTTAAAAGAGTTTTTAGACAAAAACGATTTCAGTCCAGACGAGCGTTGTTAGCGCAGTTTCAGAAATAACATCTGTCCATCCTACCACGACTAAATATGCATATCACAGGACCATTCACATACAATGGGCATGGGCGTGCCGGTCGCTGAGCACTCGAATAACAGCTTGTCTCCCGCTCATGTGGGCAGTTGTAGCATTAAAGAATGCGGAATTTAACTGCACGACAGCTGCTAGCATAGACAACAAGGTCAGCAACGCCAGTATTTGGTTATCAATGTTGAAATGAACCACCGGTAGTCGAGGCTGATGTTTTTCTTATGAATCACGTGATAGGGACCTGACCAATCAAGTGAAGCGACGTTGTGACTGATGAGAACCAATCAAGTGATAAACGTGGGTGTCTCGGTTTTTAAAAGGTCTCCGTTTCTACCTGTCCAGACTAAAATGCAACGTCGGAGTTTTCAAACTGAAACGGCGTCGGCAGCGTTTTCAGACGTCTCCGTTTTACGGGTTCTAAGACGCCGGAGCAGTGTGGACGCCAGGGGTAAACAGCAGAAGTGATGCGTTTTGAAACCAAAATGTAGCAGTGTGGATGTAGCCTTAGAATCTTATATTTTGACATATAAGCAATAATGTTGACTCAGTCAGTTTGATTTCGTACCGCATCATTTTAACTTTGTAAGTCAAATGTTTCAGTAACCATAGGTAGATTGGTTCTTTCTTTCTTTTCTTAGCGGAAGTGGCCTTCCGTACTGATCGGAGTATGAATCCAGTGACTATCCCACTACGAAGAAATGACCCAGTTCTGGAATCACTCCGGAAACACCGGTATGAGCTCAGGTAGCACACCAAGCCACAGATCTGTTGTTGGCACTGTTTCACAGCTACAAGTACGGCCTCCATGTTTTTCACTTCTGTCCGAAAATATCTAAGTTATTCTACTTTTCAAATACTTTTTCCTTGTATTTATTTTGAAGCCACATGTGAGAGTCATTTACCAACTTCGCTTTGGAAAACAAACTTTTATTCTAGTAAAACTACACATGCGTCATTATCAGCATGAAGTTGTTGTAACGGGACAAGTAGTTCAGGGGCTGTGAGCTTTAAGTGCTACATTTTGGGGTTACTTTTTTTTCAGTTACATGCTCTAAATATGGCACGCAGATGGCTCTCTGTTGCAACAGCGTTTCAATGGCAGGCTGTGGTCAGGCTGTGGCTTTGACACTCTGCTGACAACGGCCTCGTGTCCCACCGCCTCACAATAACAGATATGTTGCTGCTGTTCCCTTCAAGAGCTCGGCTATAGAGTTTGATTAGATAGATTTATGAGAGAGAGGGCAAAGCTGGTTACCCAAAAACAAAATAAGGTTTCAAAGGAGGAGGGGCATGGGGGCTCCTATTTAGAAGGATGTTAGTGAAAAGTCTATCAAAAATACTGTTATTCTTTTGGAGAAGAGAAATACACAAAGGTTGATGAAGTCTAAACATCAAACTAATGGCACATACATATACAGGATCAATACAAATTTTAAACATATGAACATATAAGCTAAAATTTTAAAAGAAAAAATACTCTTTTTTTTTTTTTTTTTTTTCTTTTTTTTTTTTTAAAGGTTGAAAGTGCTAGAATTCAGATGAGCTCACAGAAACCCAGGGAGGACAAACGTAATACATGACAAAAGCTTTTCATTTAAATGCTCAATTTGATTGCTGCAAATTTGGCTTTAGCCAAGAGGGTTTGTTTTTAAAAACTCTTTTTTTTTTAGCTTATAACAAAGAACAAATTTGAAGACATTTTATAAATTGAATTTATCATGTAAATTCTCAGAAAGGTGCCAACAGTTAATTCGTTTAGGATCAATAAAAAAAAAATTTCATCATTTTACAAGAGCCATTATCAAAATAATGACTTTCCAGGGGGGGGGGGGGAGACTAATAATATAAGTTTCAATTTAGTTCAGAACTCGGATTATAAAATCTAGGATTTTAGCGGTGGAGTTGTGATTTAACAGTCAGACTGTGGGGAAGCTTCTCCTGCGTCAGTGCTGGCTGATTCTGAATTCTCAGCCAAAGGGGAATATTCAGACATCAGAGCCATCAGCTGCTCAGCCAAAGGGGTTCCGGCTAAATCAGGTAACACTTGTAGCATTTTGTAACAAGCAATTGTGCAAAAATGTAGTTTCTTCTCCCCAGGTTTTGGTAAGAAAAAAATAAAAACAAACAAAAATGAGGTGATGTGTTGTGTTGTTTTTCGAGGTCCTGTTTTAAACAAACAGAAAATAATATATCATATGACAACAGACAAAACAAATATATGACGATACCTCCAGGTTGTGCAGTCAGTCATGTGTCCCTCCCCCTTGTGCTTTGAATGTCAAAGCCTGGGAATTCGGTGACTGCGTTCTCCCGGGTATCGCCGTGTTTTTCAGACCCTTTACCTTTGACTCGACAAAGCAGCTGAGAGAGGAGGAGGGGATGGGGCCCGGGGGTGATGAACACTTTGTCGGTTCGGTTTGTGCATGTTTTCAGCTCGCTGCCCATCTTGCAAGTACAAACAAAAAAAAAAAAACTTGAAATGTTCTAGTGGTCTACAGTTGTCGTCCATCAGCAACCATAGCTAAAAGCAGCAACATGTATTATATTTTTTGTTTTTATGTGCTCCGTTTTTCTCTTCGTTTTCACTCAACACTTATTGGTGATTGGAGGGGGGGGGGGGCTCGCCTGTGGCACGACGATGTCTCCGGACAAGAAAATGAGCCATCACAGATGATAGCGGGGGGGCCATCTCTGTGTGAGGTCACGGACAGGCCGGTTGCGTTGGTTGTGCCACGGACTGCACGTTAGCTCGAGAGCACCTGTTTCACTTTGACGCTTGTGTTAACTTTGGGCTCAGGTGTTTAATAGGCTGGTGGTGAATGGTTAGAAAGGATGTAAAACTCTGATTGCTGTGACTTTTCCTCACAGCACAGGGGTTACACAACCCGCTGGACGACGACTTAGAGCCGTAGAGTGGCAGGCCGTCCACGTCAGCATCTGAACAATCTATCGAGTTCAAATCCTAATAGATTATTAAGGCGCTAACAGCCTTCTATAGACACTTCCCATCCACAGTTCTGGTTCCGCTATACTAACTCAAGCACATGTAAAGGTAAAGATCGGATAGGACAGAAAAAAAGCTTGAGGGGGAAAAAAGCTAATACTTCATCCGTTTGTTTGATCAAAAATGCAAGATACACACAAATGTAAACCTGCCAGACATCAAAAAACATCATCACTTAAGTTTTAATACGTCTACCTAAAATACACCTTACTGAGATAAAAAGCAATAATAATATTCATTTTTGAGATATTTCGTACACTGCAATAACATTCTTAAACACATTTTTACTCATCTGTCACTGAAATCTTTTGTTTTGTATTTTTTGCCATTCACATATGTCAGGGTTCATCCTTACCATGATGATGCATCTTCTTTTAAAAAGACTGCCTAAAGATGTGTTTGCTCCAGAAATATATATATATATATATATATATATTTTCGGTATGTTGGGCAGCCAAGTAATGGCTGCAATTCTCATTGGAACTGTAAGAGATAACTGTTAGAGGGGGACAGGTGAAGGAGAGGAGAGAGTCTCTTTGAACCTCTAGAAGTCACGAGGAAGAGACAAAAGGTTTCCAAAGGAGAATTCTGAAGGTCAAGTGCCTTCTGCTAAAAAAAAAAAAGTGCTTCTCTTTAGGAACAGTAAAAAAAACAAAAAGCCAGCGTGATATTTCACTCACTTTTCTTTTTCCTTTTCCTGAAAAGTGGGTGGCCATGTGTGTGACTGGTCTCTGTTTGTTTGGCAGCAAATGGGCAAGTGAGCTATTTTCATTCTAGCTGACCTGACTCTAAGAGCACATCAGCTACAGTTCAAAGAAAAATAATGGGGACATCCGTCTAATGATTTCCTTGTTTAAAGAGCACTTTTTTAATCAGAGGCAGAGGGGGCTTTTGCGGCTCTTGTCTCCCATTCAAGAGGAGGATTTTAAAGAGCTACTGTTCAATCGTCTATATCTCTTCATTCCTTCACTGACAGAAAAAGAGGAGAGACCCTCTGTACTGACCATGACGTTCAGGTTATTAGAGTGGGTGGTTCAAAACTCAAAGATGAGACATGTTCTACCATTTCTTTACATTTGGAAAATAAAAATAAAGTAAAACAAAATATCCACTTCAAACTATATTTTTTTTCTGGGTCACAACAAAAATAGTATTACTTAAAGTATGCAGTACCACGCCTTTTGGCCTACTGATCCTGCCCTCTATACTACTAAATATAATGTAAAAGGGGGGAGTAAATGGAAATAAAAAAGGATGGGTTAATACATCATAATAACTATAGGATAGGGGGGGCGCCCGAATAAAAGCTGCTTCAACTTCTTTTTTCACCTTTTCCATTTTTGCTCTAAGAGGTTTCACTTCCTTTTAAGGCTAGATCAAAAGCGTTTGTGCACTTTCATTTAAGGCTCCTACGTGTTCATTTATTTATTCTAATTCCTCAACTTCCTCAACAGGCCCCGTAAAGAACCCCAGCCCGAAATATCCACACTGAGCTGAGCTGAGGCTGGTGTGGAGGCCGTCCTGGCTGGGCCGAGGACTGGCTCTCTCACTGAAAGGCCTGGTGGAAGCGAGGCAGCGTGGTGGTGCTAAGGCTGGAGCTGAAAACTGGTGGGTGGGGGTGCAGGGGTCCAAGGCCCAGACCCCCGCTGGAGCACTGCTGCTCCTGAGGTTGCGGTTGCAAAGAGGTAAAAGGTGCCGCGGCGACTGACGCAGCGTGGGGCTCGTGCAGAGATGAGGAAGAGGAGGAGGAGGAGGAGGGGGTCGCAGATGAGGTGTAGCCCATCATCAGCCCTCCCGTGCTCATGGGCGCACTGTAGGGGGGCAGGTTGAGGGGCAGGAAGCCCAGTAGGTGGGAGAAGTCCATGTTAGCAGCACACAGTGACTCCGCAAGCACCACAGGGCTCTTGGACAGGAGGTGATCCCCGCAAAGCTCATCCACCAGGCCCGAGGTGGGCTCCAGTCCGTCCTTGGTGGGTGAGGCAGCAGCATGTGGATCTGCAGAGGGAACCGGGCCTGGCGAGCCACTCTGCAGATCCATGAGGAAGCTCTCCATCTCTACTTTTAAGGGCTTGTCCAGCAGGTATGAGGTAGATCCCAGCTGGTATTTGGGGGCTGGCTGGGGCTGGTGCTGCTGCTGGGGAGCCGGAGGCTGGTGGTGTGTGGGCAGCGGAGGGGAATGGTGGTGGTGGTGATGGTGGTGGTGATGGTGGTGGTGAAGGGAGCGTGGGTGAAGAGGTCCAGGAGATTCCATGTGGCAGCCCATGCCCATAGCTGCAGACAAGGGACTGGGCATCAGGGACGGGTGCGGGTGACCCACCCCAGAATTAGACATGGCCTGGAGATGGTGGGGGTTGTACATGCCCATCGGAAAAGGGGCCCCGCTGGGGAACGGTTTGCCCATCATGGGGTCTTTGTTGGGACCCATGCCGCACATCATGGGGCTGAGCTCCTCCTTCACAGAGCAAGGTGGTGACCCGGGCGCTAAAAGACCCAACATATCCGGAGGCTCCGTCTTGATCCTCAGCAGCTCCTGTGAGTGACTCTTCTTCACGTGACGTGTCAGATGGTCCTTCCTGCCGAAGCGCTGGGCACAGTACTGGCAGAGGAAGTCCTTTCGACCCGTGTGGACCACCATGTGCCGTCTCACATCCTTGCGTGTGTAGAAACGACGGTCACAGTGGTCGCACGGGTGCTTTTTCTCCTTGGTGCCGCCCGAAGACTTCCCCGAGTGGGTCTTGAGGTGCTCCAAGAGCACGGGTGTGCTCTCATAGCTCTGCATGCACACTTTGCAGGTGAGATCCCCTGACGTGGCAGAGTGCATGGCCACATGGCGCTTATATCCCAGCTTGGTGTTGTAGTGCTTCCCGCACTCCTCACACTTGAAGGCCTCCTTGTTGGGGTCATGGGTCTGCAGGTGGTTCTTCAGGTGGTCTTTGCGGTGGAACATTTTCTCACAGAACGAACACTGATGGGTCTTCTGTGGAGAGTGTGTGGCCATATGCCTGCAAAGGGGCACAGGAAAAGGAGACGTTAGGCAGTTCTTATCTTATTCATTATGCAGTCTGTCAGTAAGCTAAAGTGAGGCATGAATTCCTCTCAGTCAAACCTCTTGTCTCCATGTATACATATATAATGAGTCACAGTGGTTTGAAGCAAGGACCCAAAGTGGGTTTTGGAACCACTTCCTGTGATTCAAAGGACTCCAAACATCTTAGTATGTTGATGAGTTGATGAGACTTTTCCTCTGCATGTCTCTACTTAACTCGACTCGCTCTTTTTTGGTTGTGGATCAAACCGGCTACTTTTTTTGGTTCCATCTGTCGAGTTACCAAGGGAGCTAAGCCGATACTTAAAGGTAGAGTTAAAACACTGCAGACCACTGATTGGTCAGAATGAATCGGTCCTAGAGCGACACGGGACATCCTGCACACATTTTTAAATAGCCAAGCTACCGCCAATATCAACCACAATTTCTTTTGTTCTCTCGCCCCAGTTAAATCATGGCAGCCTGCAAAACAAGGCCGTACACTATGCCGTACAATTGATTGTAAAACCGAAAAAACTGATTTGTAAACACAGCATCAATATTTCAACACCTTATAAATGGTAACAGCTTATTTACACATCCAGAAGTTACAAAGCGACATTATCATTCATTTGGAGTCGGGTTCTTGGCCAGTTGATGAATGTAAGTCCAATAGTCTCAACTTTGTGCTCTGACTTTGGTCTCCACCAACTGAGGGACGTATCTAGCTCTATAGCAGCGAAATGCTCCACTATGTCCACCAGCGAGCCGCTAACTTTGTCTGCCTGCTGTTTGGAGCAGGGCAAGTACTGTAGAGTGTGTCTGCAGCTCACTGAAAAACAGCTGCCCGCTGTCTCTGAGAATGAAGCTCATGAGAGCTGTGAGACTGAACCAAAACAGTCACCGTGAAACAACCGAGCTGAAATAAGCTGAACCTCTTTGGAAAGCTGAGAAACACTGCAGAGTCTGCTTTTTCACATATAAGCATTCATGTGATCCAGTTTTCATCTTATAGACCTGAGTCAGGTATTGCTTTCTGAAGTTCAAGTTTGCAATCTCACATATATTGAATGAAGGTTAGAATGATCAAAATCCTCTGGGATTCTGAGAAAGACACAAAAGCCGTGCATCATATTGCATTTAAAAGCATGTGAATTGAGCGATGGGAATAACTCTCGGTACCTTAAGAGTTTGTATTTGGAGCTGAAGGCCTTGGGACAGTGTGGCTGTGAGCAGTGGAAGGGTTTCTCTCCTGCGTGACCCAAGGCGTGCAGCCGGAGCTTCTCCTGTGAGGCGAACAGGGCCCCGCACACCAAACACTCGCTCCCTCTCACTTTTCCTACCCTTTCTCCTTCGTCCCCCCTCTCCCAGTCTCTCTCTTTCCCCCTCTCTCGCTCTCTCTCTTGCTCTATCCGTGGCAGCGGGGTGGCGCTCCCGATCAGCTTGGCGGCGGTCCGTCGTCCCTCTTCCTCCGGCGTCAGTGCGGTAATACGGTGTGAGGCATCGGTGGCAGCAGCTGCCATGGCAGCCCTAGAGTGCCGCTGCCATGAAAGTTTGCCCGTGGCTCCCCTGCCTGGCAGGCTCTACGTGGGAAGTCGTGTATCACAGAATGCGCCAACGATCCAGCGGGGACATCGAGGTACGTCGAAATCTGCGGTGAGACAGAAATTGTATGCTTTGAAGCAAACTGTTTCAAAGTCTGTGGCAACATCAAGCACATTTTTCTTCTTAGCAAACCTTTACCTGTTGAACTACTACTTCTCCTTCTTTTTGTCCCTGAACTGTCCTCTCTCTCTCTCTCTCTCTCTCTCTCTCTCTCTCTCTCTCTCTCTC